GGCAGGTTGACACCAGATTGTAAAAAAATAAAATAAAATAAAATCTACAAGGACTTTTATTTCTAACTAAAGGAGAAACAACCACAAAACAGAAGAAAAAAAACTACTGCCCTTTCCCTGCCCCTCTGTTAAAGTGTAAGTACTTTTAGTCCTCAGCACTCTAGGGACAAAAGTTTATGTGAAGATTTTAGCACTCACAAAGGAGCTTGGGAGCAGTGGAGGGCTTAAAGGAAGAGGGTACCATTTCCATGGCCCTGATTCTAGAAAATCCTTTTGACCCATCACTCCCCCAGACCTGTCCTTACCCACACAGCCAAATCTGGATAGGTTTTATCCTACCTGATCCCTCTGCAATGTGTGTCACAGGGGACCACCCTCTGCCTGGCACCATCATCCCTTGGTTTCCTCAACAGCTGTTCCCCTCTACCTCTCTGCAGCCTCAATTTCCAGAGACAGCTCTCCTCTCTGGACCCTTAGATGCGGGGATTCCTTAAGGCTCTCCACTGTGCCCTGACCCTCATCATCCCTCACTCTGCTGTCTCCTGGGTGATCCCATCCAACCTCATCGTGGAACCAGTGCTTTTCTAACAAAGGGTTTCAAACCAACAAGTTATAAAATCAACTTGGTGGTTTACCCCTAGAATTTTTTTAAACTTTTGTATTGCAGTGAAATAGACATAACAGAAATTTACCACTTTCACTATTTTTAAGTCTACAGTTCAGTGGCATTAAGTGTAGCCAATCTGTTATGCAGCCATCACCACCATCCATCTCCAAAACTTTTTCATCTTCCCAAACTGAAACCCTGTACCCACTAAACACTAACTCCCACCCCACCTCCAGCCCCTACAACCACCATTCTACTTTCTGTCCCTATGAATTGACTAATCTAGGTGCTTCGTATAAGTAGAACCATACAATGTCTGTCATTTTGTGCCGGGTTTATTTTAGCATAACATCTTCAAGATTCATCCATGTTGGGAAAAAAAAAAAGATTCATCCACGTTATGTATCAGATTTCCCTTCCTTTTAAAGGCCAGATTTATTTTTCAAATGCAGTGGAATAGAAAACATTAAAGCACGTTTCTTATAAGAAGATCAAATATTGTTTCACAGAACGGCTGTTTCAAATGGATGTGTATGTGAGTGTGTTCTAGATCCCCGGGTGTAACATAGTTCTTACGGTGGCTAACAATTATAAAAGTTGGGAAAACACTGATTTTGGTGGTGACTAAGTAATCTCCATTGCTAGCCTGGCTCTTCTCCGCCCACAGTTCCGGAGCTCATTTCCAAGGAGCTGCTGGATAGCTCCCTGTCAGCTCCTTGCAGTGAGTTTCCTAACAGATCCAGACTCAAATTTGTTACCTCTTTCCTCCAGACATGCTTCTTCACACACATCTCCTTGATTCTCCATAATCAGACCCTGCCTGTCTCACCTTGCTCCAGGTACACAGCTGTGACATCTGAGTTATGGTGAATTACTTAGCTCTCCCTGGCACTTGGCTATCCTCATTCAAGCTGGCTCTCATCCTCCTTCCTTCCCCTTCCACCACGCCTACGGGTCATTTTCCTTTCTTTAGGACCCATTTCAAATGCCTCCATGCACCTTGAAGCCATTCTGATCCACTCTGGGTCCCTCCGGATTTCTGGAAGCCCTTGCTCACACCTCCAATTTGGCTTATGTTTGTATTACGTGCCTTTCCGTCTTCCTAGCAGACCGCAAGCTCCCCGGAGACCCTGGACTGTGTCGGCCTGCCACACCACTGTCCTCAGCACTTAGCGTGGTATTCAGCATAGAGCAAATCTTCATTAAGTATGTGCTCAATCAAGTACGGATAGGAGGAAGCCAAGAACATCAACGGGAAACTTCACAGTTTTGTCCCTAGAAGTGGCGACCACACAGCACAGACAGAGACCAGGGGTCCAAGGGAAGAACACATACCGACTCACATGCCCCACTCCCTTCTGGTGAAGTCTGGACCGAATTCTCCCTGAAATAGCCTGTCATCTCTGTGCTCCTGAGCTCTCTGAGAGGTGGCAAACAATGGAGGCTTTGCTGAATACATCATCAACTACCCCAGCTCGGCACAGAAGCGAAAAATGGCAGCCTTCAGGAATCCCCAAGGTCTAAAGTAGATCTGCCTTCCGCACCAGTCTCCTCACTTTGGACCAGGCTGTCACAAGAGCCTCCCAGGCTTTCCCCATCACTAACCTCTCCTTACAGAGCCTGAATAGCCTTCCTCCCCAAAGGCTTTTATCCCATCATTACCCTACTCAAAGACCACATGCGGCTCCCTGTGAGTGAAGGAACCGGGTTCAATCTGTCCTTCCCCATCCACAAAGCACCTCACCGAAGCTACTCACCCAACATTATATCTGTCCCCGTTCTCCACATTCTCCCTTTTACCAGTTGGATCCGTTTCTTCACCGTGTCTTCCAATTACCAGGGGTGCACGTGGGCAAACAGGTGCATGTGCGCGCACACACACACACACACACACACACACACACACACCCCATGTGCACATGTGCGCACACACACACCCAACTTTCAATCATTTCTTCATTATCCTGTATTTATTGAGAGTTTACTATGTACCCGGCACCATGTTTGGTGCTCAGCGTGCAGGTGGGACCCAAGTGTGGAGGACCCTGTCTCATGGAGGTTTCGGTCCAGAGCAGGGGTTTCTCCATGTCAGCCCTATTGCTATTTGGGGCTGGGCAATGCTTTCCTGGGGGAAGGAGATGATACAGTTGTAGGATCCTTAACAGCAGCCCTGGCCTCTCCCTGCAAGACACCAGCAGCTCTCTCCTTTCCCAGTGTGAGAACCAAAAATGTTTCCAGGTACTGCCTGGGGTAATGCTGCTCTCCCTTGAGAACTGTGGGTCTAGAGCAGCAGGGGGAGCTTGCTAGGAGCCCTGTGGGGACCTGGTAACAAGCATGAACTGGACCCACCCCCAGAGAGTCCAATCCTGAGCTCAAGCCTACGTATCAGCGGCCCCTGCAGGGGATTCTCATGAGGCTGTCCCAAGACCTGTTTGGGGAACACTCAAGTGGAAAGTGTTCCTAGACCGGACACAGACCAATAATCACACCCAGTTGGCTCATTACAATTGAGTGGGTGGTCCGGGCATGGGAGAGCCGAAGGGAGGCGGTGCTCCATCTCTGCACATTTGCTTACATGCTCTTTAGCTCTGGCTGTGCATGTCATCACCACCCCCCACCCAGACACACACCTAAATTTCACCCTTCCTACATGGACCCATTCAGGTTCTACCTCCTCTAGGCAGTCTTCCCTAATTACTCCAGCCCATTCATACGTCCTTCCTCAGAGAGGTTAACACTCACGACTGAACTAGCTCATCTGTGGCCATTTGTTTCCCCAAAGAGACCTCAGGCCTCCTGAACACCAGGATCACAGCATCCGCTTCTCCACAGACCCCCAGAGCGTCCTTCCCGCGTCCAGCACAGGCCGGTTTGGCTTGCTTGACCAGACTGAGCCCATGCCCCTGGAGTGAGCCCCAGAGGTGGCATCTGAGATTCAGGGAGTCAGGATCTCGGTGTGAGGGAGGGATGGGAGGCAACCACGCCTGCTGAACTCTCGGTGGCTCGCACGGCCACCCAAGACCAGGGAGGGTGTGGCAGAGCAAGCAGTTAGGAGTTGAGCTGGCGCTGACCATGAACACGGATGTTTTCTCACTGTTGACCCAGGCAGCATGGGTCCCAGCAGGCCCAGCAGTACTGAGTAAGTGCCAACGGGGCCCAGGAACCCAGAGTGGGCCTGCTGAGGAGGAAACAAGTGCAGCAGGTGGAGGCCAACGGGGCAGAAGCAGGCCATCTGGGGCCCGCCAGTCCTTGCATGGGCTTATCTTGGAGGGGCAGTAGGAGCCAGAAGGGGAGGCAGACCCAAGCCAGCCAGGGAACTCTGAAAATGTCCTTTAAAACCAGCAGCACCATGCAGAGCTCATCGGCTGCCTTCCATGGGGGAAGAATGCTGTCTGGGGAGGTGGGGGGGTGTGTGTGCATGGCTGGTTAAGTGCCAATGTCCCAGGCAAGGAGCCTCATACTCCCCAGCACGGGGACAGGGACAGGGACAGGGAAGCGAGTAGCCTAACAGCAGCAAAGAACAAACCTCCAGGCGAAAGGAGAGCTAGGCTCTTCCAAAAGGGGATCCGATGTGGGAGCATCCTAGGGTCAGCGCTATCCCCAAGCTCTGGAGCTAGGCAGAGTACCCCGAAGCATTTCTCCTGGCCAGCAGAAGGAACTGGCTGGCATTTTCACACACGCAGGGACCCAGGCTGTGACACATCCTCCTACTGCTCTTTCTCTTAACAGAGTCGGCGGGTGGATGGGGTGGGCTGGGAAGAGAGCCCAACGAGGGGAGAGTTAACTTCGTCTGCCGCTCTGACCTTCTGTGTAAGGATGAGAAAGAACCATCTGCTACAGGAGGAATCAGGTTGTGTTTCACACGCACACTGGTTACCGGTTTATGAAAACTGACGATTCCAGCCACGGTCCCAGCCCATTATCACTCCCCACCTAACCTGCCGCTTTCCCCACAGGAGCCCCCACAGAAGTTCAGGACTCGGGGTAATCCTGCTCGGTTTTGAGCCCTCCACACCAGGGAGCCTCCCCTCCAACCAAACGGCCATGGCGCCGTAGATTTGGGGGGACACCGATCTGACTCCTGTGGCCCCTCGGGGCATTCGGATGGATTCTTCATCGGCGTGGCCACTCGGAATTCCAACCTGTCCCCCATTTTCACAAGAGAACAAAGTTGTTGGGCCCCTCCGGCCCACGCAGGGCAGGAGCTCTCATGCCGCTGGGAGGAGAGATGCGTTTCGGAGCGCCAGGACCCAAACCCAACGCGGCCGTGCTCGCGGCCAGGTGCCCAACCCGGGCGCCTGACTCTGGGGACGCCCGGGCCGACGCTGCTGCCGCCACCTGGGGACTGGCCCGCGAGCTCCCTGCACCCTCACCCGCGCTCGGACTTTCTTACCTCTTGATGTAGTTTCTGCCGTACAAGATCTGTTGCAGCAAGGTCACCAAAGCGAAGGCGCAGATGAAGATGAAGAGCAAAGTTCGGTTCCCCAACAAATCCCGGTTCGCCGAGGGGTCCGCGTAGCGCATCCTGGCGGCCGCTCGCGCACGGCGGGGCGCGGCGGGCGCCGGACGCCGGGGGGCCCCCGCAATCACGCACGGGGTTTCGGGGCCCCCGGCGGGGCGCGCGATCGACCAGGTGCCTCTCGGCGCTGTTAGCCGGGCGGGGTACTTGGCAGGGCAAAGTTTCCGCCTGGCGGGGAGGGCGCAGGGGGCATCCGAGCGTGGCTGGCGCCGGGGCGGCGGGCAGGGCAGAGCTGATCGTAGGGAGCTCGGCCGCGGCCCGGGGCCTTCCCTCCGGACGCCTCTACCTCTGGGCGCCCGTGCCCGGCACCCGCCAATTTCCCTGCGGAGAGGCGACTCCAGGTGCCCCGGGCCCGGGGCGGCCCCTCCCCGCCGAGGTGACGACCAATGGGGAGCGGGGCCCTGATGCCGTCCGCTGGTGCACCCGAGAGCGCGGCGCACCGCCCCCTCCGGTCAGGCTCCGGATCGCAGTCGCCCCGCGCCCTGCCCTGTCCGGGCCGGCCACGTCCGATCCCAGCGCCCGCAGCGAGGCAGCGCGAAGGTGCCTTCAATTCTGCAGACGGGAGGTGGGGGGACCAAACACCCGGACAGGCTGGCGAATGACTGGCGGGCGGTGGAGAGGGGGAGGGGTGGAGCGGAAAACGCCAGGTTTGAATCGTGGAATTAAAAAAGGGGGCAGGAAGGGGAAGGCGCGGCAGAGAAGCTGGGCATGCTGGAAGGGAGCGTTTGCTTGCGGCGCGCAGGGTACTGAGTCACCGCGGTGGCCACGTCCTCGCGCTCGGGAGATTTCTCCGGAGAAAGCGGAGCAAGGTCAGCGGGCAACCCTTCAAGGACAGGCGCGTGCGGCTCCTGCATGCTGATGGCCTGCGGGGCTGCCCGCCTGCGCTCCGGGCACCCAACTCCTGCAGGGAGAAAATTCAGAGGCTCTACACCCCAGCCACAGGCCTCCTTCCTCTCCCCAGCTGTGGCCCGCGGCTATTCCTCAAAGACCTGGTTGTCACCGAGACACTGGGACCTTGTCTCATCCTCGGAGCCGCTCATAAATCTTAGGTCAGGCAGCCGGCCGCCTTAGGGTACCAGGGTCCCCCAAAGCTTGAGTAAATCAGCAAGTCTGGAAAGGCTGGTGCTTCAGAGGGCACAGAAAGGCAACGCCAAAGTCCTGCCTCTTCAGAAATCCAAGCCACTAGGTGTGCTCCCCTTCTCCTAATCCCCCTCACCCCCCTACCCCCGCCCTGCAAGCCAAGTGCCAGCCCTGTCACCCTGACTCCACAGTCTCCCACGTCCTGGAGAGTCACGTGCCCACAGCATTCACCCCTGAGCCCTCCTGGATGATTTCAGGGCGCCCCTTCCAAGGGCCCTACAGCTGCTGGGGACGTTCTGGAGTCAGGGTGAGGATTCAGCTCCCAAATAGACGGAAACTCTAGTCCCAGCAAGAAAAAATGGCTTTAGTGACGGGCCTTCAGTGCTCTGGCCTTACCCTTTAGTACTTTACTCTGGAGCTGGAAAGAGCAAGAAACGGGATGGCAGGTCTCATGATTAAGGATTCATCAATAAGCTTGGAATTGGTTTTAATGCACAAGGTGGCAGTGGACCATGGGCTGTCAAGAGTTTATGTACCAAATAAATATCTGTGAGGTCAATTAAATAAAGAACACAAACATTAAGATGGCCCATTATTATAATAATCCCCATATTTATTTGGTGCCTTACTCATCAAAATAGTGCTTGCTTTTGCATATTAATTGAATTAGCGCCTGCTAGCCTCTAACTAACCCTCTTTACAATCAAAAGGACCAAAGGTCTAGTTGCCCAAAGTAACTCACCTAGCAAGAAGTGTTTGGAATGGGAGTGTGGCATTTGCTCCCACAGAAGCAGGGGGGGCTTTATGGGTGGGGCCAGTGCCCTGCCCCACCCCACCTCACCCTTGGCTTAGAGTTCCACTCTTGCTGTCCTTAACCTCTTAATAATTTTGAACTAGAAGGCCCTGCATTTTGCTTTCCACTGGGACACACAGATTATGCGGTGGGTCCCGCACAGTGGTCCAAGTTGACAGAGTCTCATTTTTCACTTAGTTGGCCCTCCCGTGTGGAGGTCATGGGCTACCCTCACTGCTGGAGAGGCACTTTCATCTCCTTTCTTTTCCCGCTGGTTCCCCACCACCATCAAGTACCCTCCCGGATAGTTGTCTTTGAACGCATAGTGCCTTGGAAAAACAAAACGGATCTATTTTAAAACAAGAAATCTAAATTATTCTAAAAATGTACAGCTTGCTGAGTTTCCACAAGCTGAACATACTCGTGTAACCAGAATGCAGATCGAGACACAAAACATCATCAGTCCCCCTCCAAGACCCCTCTCCTGATCCTTTCCAGTTACATTGTGCTGAAGAGTAACCATTATTCTGACTTTTAGTCCCAAAGATCAGCACTTCCCATTCTTGCATTTTATACAAACAGAATCATACCTCATATATACTTTTCATGTCTGACTTCTTTCGCTCGCCACGGGTTGGAAGATTCCTCCATGTCACTGTGTATGATAGGGAGCATTGTAATATGGCCCCCAAGATCCCTCATCCTCTCTGGTCCTCGCACTTTCTCCCAGTTACTCAATCGAACATCCATCTAGGTGTTGCTGTAAAGGGATTGTGGGATGTAATTTAGGCCCAAATCAGTTGGCTTGAAGATAGGGAGAGTATTTTCAGTGGGCCCGATCACATGAGCCCTTAAAAGGGACTAAGCTCTTCCTGACGAAAGAGATTTTGAAGCATGATACAGATGGACTTGAGGGAAGCTCTTCACTTTTGGCTCTGGTGACAGAGTCCACACGGCAAGAGCTCTGGACGGCCTCTGAGAGCTGACACCGGCTCCTGGCTCACAGGCCGCAAGAAAATGGGGGACCTCAGTCCTCCAGTCACAAGAAAGACCATAAATTTCGCCACCACGTGAATGAACTGGGAAGACAGTCCTGAGCTCCTGGCCTGTGAGGCCGTCTGAGGAGAAGCAAGATTTACGAGCTGCCCCACCGTGAGCTGGTAAGCTTGTGTTGTCCTCAGCCCCTCAGTTGGTGGTCATGTGTTTCCCAGAGCCAGAAAATGCATGCTTCGCACGCTATGGGTTAGAGGTTGACGGATACCGTTGTTTGTTCCATCTTCTGTCTATATAGCATGTCATGGCTGGACTGTAGCACAACCGACTTATCCACTCTACTGTTGACAGACCCCCAGAGAGTTGCGGCCACATACCTTCCAGTGTGTCCTCTGGTGAATATATGTGCGCTTACCTGTGGGGTAGCGGTATTTAGGAGTGGGATCTCTGGGTCACAGAAGGCTCAGCTATAGTGATTCCTGCCAAACAGTTTTCCAAACAGCTGGGTTATTCTTTTCATAGGTATTTGATTCAAACTTGCCATGACCTGATGGGAATTGGTCCCCACCCTAGATGACGCTACCATTAACCAGCTAATCTAACAGCAAAAAACCCACCAAGCAAAGAGACAAAATAGTCCAGAGAAATGAATTACGTAACACTGGGTGTGGACTCTCCCTGATGGCCAGGTAGCCTGCAGGAATCTGCAGCAAGGGCCAGTGCTGACTTTGGCCACGGCTGGAATGCTGGGGTAGTCTCCTGTGTGCGATGTGTTTGGGTCACCTGATACCCAGCAATAGTCCTGCACGCCTCTGCTGACAGGGCCTTCCTAATCCTAACGGTGTCTTGAATCCCACCATCTCCGTATCAAGTCGGAAGGTACCTTTAACATACACACAGACACAAGCATCGGCGGAGGAATCAGAGACCAAAGACCTCGAGACACGGAGGTCTGCAGTCCCTGTTGTTGCTATTAATATATGGATCTAGGTTCCATTTTAAGCCAAATCCATATTCCGATTGGGGAACTGCTGCAAACCCTCGGAAGGCCTTGCAAACAAAAGAGTAAACCGTGGAGAGCTGATCACTGTGCCAGATTCAGTGCACACCATTTTTATATCCTAATTGCCAGCAACGGGGACAGCTGCATCATTGTTTAAAACACACACGCACGCACAATTAAGCCAAGAAGAAATGTCAACACTGGCACAATCTGCTAAATTGCTGATAACTGATGGGCATTACTCATGCTGTGAGCATTGTCTCCGACAGAAAACAGAAAGACTCCTTTTAAAAAAAAAAAAAAAAAAAAAGACCTCAGAGATTTCGACTGGTTTAAGAAAACTGGGGTTGGTAACATTATGGCACAATTGCAACCTGCCAGATTATGTAAGTGACATTCCACCCATGCGTTCACAGAGTCTGTGATAAGTCCAGGCTGTTCTGCCTCTTCCTATCTGTGTTCGCAAGGCGGCTCCAAGAGGCTGATTCGTGGTTCGGGGACACTCTGTCTGTGCTGAGGGTGTCTTGCAGCCACTGAGCAGAAATGCCTAGGGATAACCTCTGAATCTAGAGAGCCAGAGCTCACCATTGCTCGGGCATCTGTGGACGCTGGATCCTCCTGGTTTTCACTAAGCTGCTATTATAGAATAGAACTAGAATTTAAACTCCTCATTCAGTTCCCTTATAATGCACCAAGCATGTTCGAAATAACTTATTAAATGATCCTGAACGAGGCTATGAAGTCACAGTGTGGCCTTCCTGTGTCCCACCCGAGAGACAACTTCCTTTTGTCCTCGCACCACTCCCCCACCCCCCGCCCCAGGGATTCCTCTTCTGTATCTGCCCTGAAGGACCCAGTTTGCTTCCAGAGGCAGAGACAGGCTTCTCAGTATTAATCCACAGTGGCTCCTTCGTCTCAGGGCAGAAAAGACTCATTTCCCCCTGGGGGCTGTCACATTCCCACAGGTAGCCAGAAACAGCTACACTCTTCATAATGAGGTCACTCGGGGACACACTGAGATGACATGGTGTCTTCTTTGCTCACCTTCAAGGCCAGGCCCTGGGCTAGAAACCCCTGGGATCAGGTTCTGCCCTTTGAGGAGGAGCTCTGACAAATTCAGTTCAGAGAAGGTTTCT